TGGCTCACATGATAGTACTATTGGACAGTGCTGATTCAGACTGGCAAGAGAATCTGTGTGCCACCAAAGGACTGTTCACTGAAAAACAGACAGAAGGACTCAAATTCTAATTTCTCAATCTATAATTAAGAAAATTGGTTAGATTTTCTACCATGTAACAAGTAGTTTACACATATATACTCTCCATTAAAGACAAAAGCATTGGGAGATAAACATTATTAGTCTTGATCTATAGACATTTGACTGCTAACTAGAAGGCTGGCAGTTCAAACCCACCAGCCACTCCTTAGGAGGAAGATCAGGCAATCTTCTGTAGTGATAGCGCGTTAGAAACCCAGGGTGGGGTCACTATGAGTTGGATCCAACTTGAGGGCAGTGAGCTTGTTTCTTTTTTGTTTATAGGTAAGAAATCTGAGTAGCGGAAAGTAGAAGGCACTTATATCAAGTTACAGAACTGGTAAACAGGAGAACAAAACAGTGACCCAAAGCCAACTTGACTTCAAAAGGCATGCTCTTTGCCTTATTCTCCCATACTCACTCAGAGGGAATGCCAAGATGTTTTAAGAGGCTAAAAAAAGGTGCCAAATATCTGGCCTGAGTTATCCTACAATGGGCTCCCCAGTGACACTCCACAGCCTTCAACCATATTTCTCCCAGCCACTGAACCACACATGAGGAAATGGCTTAAATGGTAACTAAACAGTTTCATGTAAAACAGTAAAGTTTTTCTGATTGGGCTTTTACTGATTCTAAATTCTCCACTGTACCCACCACTGTTAGTATAATCGACTAGTTATGTTTGATAACTAGTGGGGAACTGCAACCTGTGAATTCACTAACTTGGGAAAGCGTATTTCAGCTGTTATAATTAACTTACTTAGTCTCTTAGCAGCCTCGAGAGCTTCATTTGCAGTGCCTGCCACAAAGAATCTCTGAACCTTCACTCCATTGTCAGACATCAATTTCTTGCTCTGGTATTCCTGCAGGTTCAGCCATCTTCTAGAAATTAACTGAATTGCCTGGAGAAATTAGGATACAGCACATATTAATAACAGGAAAAATAACAGCAACCTATATGGCCAGTTTTACAGGTATCTTCAAGGGGTAATCAGTAACAGAGCATTTAGAGATGCAAAAAGTAAGCAAATCTACATAAATTATTCACTTAAGCATCAGTGTCCTCATGTTAAGGACCCTTAGGGGACACTGAGATTCTATTAAGGGTGATGATCTGAGAATGATGATAATGGAACAACATGAAGAACATATCTAATGTCATTGAATTATACTTGTGAAGACTGATGAAATGGCAAATGCTTTTTGCCTAAATATTGACCACCAGTTAAATATTCCATGTATTTAAAACTTATTAAGGACAACTATACACACACACCAATGAACACTGTTCTTAAAAAATAGTGAGAACTGAATAAAGTCTGCACTCTAAATAACAACAGAATATCAGTGTGATTTGTCTGGTTCTGATACTGTATTACAGCTTTATAAGGTGTCACCACTGGCAGAAACTGGGGGATGGGTACACGGTCTCTTTGTGATATTTTTACAATTTCCTATGAGTCCACACATATTTCAAAATAAAATTACAAAAAAAAAAATGGGATTCTATTATATAGTGTATGCCTAGTCCCTATCCAACACTAAATAAATAAAGCTCACAGCATTATTTTAATAACTGGATGCACATCATTAATCATTGGAAAGTAACTCTTGGGATTTTTTTTTTTTTAACTTTTTGAGGTCAATGGGCCACAAACTAGCCCATTACTTTACCCTACTTTTTGATGGAATCATTAGGTGCAATCATTATGCATTTAATGAGATTATCTCTTTCCTACACCAAAGTGAAATGCAATAACCTGAAAGATTCACTATTCATGAAACTTGTTCTTAAATTGCAACATGTATATTAGAGTAACTTTGCTTAAGTATTAAGTAGAAGTAGTTTCTGACCAAATCAAACCAAACTCACTGATGCCAAGTCGGATCCAACCCATAGGACCCTTCCTTGGATTTCTGAGGCAGTATCACTACAGATGTAGATTGCCCAACCTTCCTTCTGAGGAGTAGCTGGGGGGTTTGAACTGCCAGTCTTCTGGTTAGTGGTCAAGTGCCTTAGGCACTACGCTACCAGACATGCACTATCAATTAGTTGTTATCTATGTTGAATAGTCAAATGACAAAAACAAATTCCTTTTTTAAATTTTTTTCCAGTATAATCAACATCATTCATGATCAAAATTCTCATTTTTGAAAGTAAAACAACAAGCAGGAAAAAAAGTTAATGTATTTACCTTTCTTTATCCATGAGTCAGGATGTAAAGCATCCATACTTGCAAGAGGTGTGTTAAGGATCCCATTAATGCAAAATAAACCAAAACACCAATAAATCAATTACACAACTGGATCACAAGACTGGTGGTATGTGGAAGTGCACCTGATATACCCCTGTTGTGGATTAAATTGTGTCCCTTAAAATATGTGTTGGAATCCTAACACTTATACCTGTGGATGTAATCCTGTTGACAAATAGGGTTTTCTTTGTTACGTTAATTAGATCATACTTGGGGAGGAATTGTTGGCAGCTGGCTTTGAGTCAGCCTCTTGACTCATGGAGACCTCATGCACAAGGGAACTAAACACTGTGTGGTCATGCTCCATCCCCATGAGCATTTGAGGATCAAACTATTGTAATCCATCAAGTTTTCACTAGCTGATTTTTAAAAGTAGATCACTAGGCCTTTCTCCATAATCCATCTTAGCATGGAAGATCCACTGAAAGATGTTCGGCACCATAGCAGCATGCAAGCCTCCACTGGTAGACAGGTGGTGACTATGCACGAGGTGCACTGGCCAGGAATCATACCTGGGTCCTCCACATGGAAGGTGAGAATTCTCCATTGAACCATCTGAGTAGGGTGGGTTCTAAGTCTAATCACCCCTATCTGATCACTGTAAAATCTAATCACTTTTGAGTTATTAAAAAATAAAAGCAGATTAGATAAAAGGATATGTACAATCTAGGGGAAGACACCTTTTTTTTTTTTTTTTT